AGAAACGGTCTAGGGTTTCGGGTTTACTTTGTTCTGAACACGTATAGACTATGCAGGCACCTAAAACAGCCTGTGGGAAGGGACGAAGGCAAGTCTGCCGAGAGACATTCGCGTGGAGGACTGCCTGGCGTCAGCACATGATACTTCATATGCGAGGTTTTCGGACTACGCAACTGTGTTAATACGCATTCAACATTGTTCAACATATTATTAACATCACACGGATAGCGGCAGGGTTGGGCGCAGAGTTGTCATGTTGCGATATATATATATATATATATATATATAGAGAGAGAGTGAGCTCGAATGCTTCCAGACGGCACGTGCCGCAAACGGGACAACGTGTGGGGAATAGTGAAGCGGGCATGCGGTTCAAGTGTGGGCGCATAGTTAAAATAACAAGGGCACTTTGCAGATTGAGAGCGCGAGGAAACTCGTTCCTGGACTGTTTTTCTCCGCCCGCTTCGCTGATTAGGTCGTACTTCAGGATTGCGGGTGTCGGGATCGCGGGCAACATCTTCCTTGCAATGGCTCTCAAGAACAAATACGTCGGAGTTCTGGTCATTTTCCCGAAAAAGGTGAAAAAGCATGGCCGTGATTTCAAGAATGAATGTCGGCGCGGGTTTCGGCAGGGCATACTGATGAGTGTCCCGAAGCTTGGGTCAACATGAAATGCTGGGACTGCTGGTGTATGTCCCAAACCAAGTCTAGGGGAGTACATAACCAAAAAGGTCCAAGTACCAATATAACATAATAAAAGTGGAATATAACGATAGTGTCAACATATCTTCTAGATTACCAATGACTTAAGCTATCTGGTCAAACATCGACGGTAACAAAGCAAGTTCAGGCTGTACTTTTTGCGCATGAAGCCCTTGGGCCTGCAAAGTGCACAAGCACCTGTGCGAAGCCAAACCTTGCCCGGAGCCAAAACATCAAAACTCCCATAAGCCCTAGAGCAAGGTTGAGGTAAACTCTTAAAGCCAACCCTAAACCCTCCCAATATGGGGGGTCGAAGCAAAACCCACCCAACTCCAAACCCGAAAGCAGTAAGACATGACTCGAGTTATATCTAACACAAGCATCAGTAGGTAAACGGAGTCACAAGCAAAACCCGAAAGTCTTGAAACCTTAACCCCCAACCTTTTGAGCCCTGCACAAAGCCCTAGACTATCCTTGGAAAAAAAAACTGACATCTGTTGAAACCCCAAGCCAGGAGGCTTCATGAAGCTCTCGGCCGTCGGTGTGAGCTCAAAGAAGCGGCTGAACACGGCTTGACGGGTCCGTTGGATCGTCTCCTGTTTCAGACGAAGGGTCCAAAGGACCCTACAGCTAGAAATCAGGGTAAATGATTGTGTTGTAACGATGAAGCTCAACATTTCGGGGAGTATATGTTCCTTAGACGCCCGTAGGGCAAGGCTTCACGAGCTTTCATAAGGAAAGCGTTTCAGAAGTCCGGTTGTTGTAAGGTTTTTGGTGTTGGAATTGGGTTCGATGGCTAGGGCCTAGGGAGGATGCAGTTTGTAGTTTAGCGCGAATTCAAGTCGTCTAGGGCAGTTTATAGGGCTCAGTTAGGGCTAGAGACAATCCTCAATGACCCATAGTATCCGAAAGGTTGAAGTTGCTTATCAGCTTCGGGCTTCCAACTCAAAGTGAAGGTTCCAACCCGCAGCTCTGCATTCTCCAGGTTAGAGTTGGATTGCAAATGCAGCCCACAGGTGTAGGGTTTCTTGTGGTTTAGGGTTTAGGGTTTCGACTTTTTAGTAGAGGGCTTGTTCATGAAGGTCCTTACAGGGATGGAGTCCGCTCCTCAAGGACAGAAGTTGCAAGTTCTGCCCTGCCTAAAATATGCCCCGCCCTCAGGCATAGAACCATATGATAGAGTCCGCACAGTATAGCCTACATTGATTAATGTAGGCAGGTACAAGCCCGAATGCCTCGGAAACATGCGGGCACATCAGAGACGTAAACCCTGAACCCTGTCCGGTCCCACCCAACCCTCATTGACGGCAAAATCCCGACACAATGAAATCCGGGGTTTTGAGATCGGCTTGAAGTTTGCTTCTGTCCGTTGCTGTGCATTGAGGCTTAGGCGCTAACATGGCTGAAGTTACGCAATACTAAGCCCAATATCAATTCTACAGACCCTTTAGACCCTAAACCCCGTAGACCGTGCGCCCTTTTGCATCGGAAATTCTCGCCGGCTCGCAGCCCAGCTCTGCTCACCCTCGCAGTCGTGGGCGTTTTGGGAAGCGGGATTGCTGCAAGGATTCAGCGGACTCACAAGAATCGCTCTCACGGTCGCTTGGGTTGCTGGCTCTCACATGACTCGCTCTCTCTCTCTCTCTCTCTATCTCTCTATCTCTCTATGTATGTATGTATGTATGTACGTACGTACGTAGGTATGTATGTATGTATGTATGTATGATTGTATATGTCTATGCCTATGTCTATGTGTATGGGTATGTGTGTGTGTGTGTGCATGTGTGTATGCGTGTATGCGTGTATGTATGTATGTATGTATGTATGTATGTATGTATGTATGCATGTATGCATGTATGTTTGTATGCATTTATGTACGTATCGATGTATGCAAGTGTGTATGTGTGTTTACATGTGAGTGTATGTGCGTATGTGTGTATGTGTGCATGTGCGTATGTATGCATGTATGTATGCATGTATGTATGCATGTATGTATGCATGTATGTATGTATGCATGTATGCATGTATGAGTGTATGTGTGCACATGTGTTTGTGTGTGCATGTATGCACTTGGCTGACTTCTGAACCCCTCCTCAAAGTTAAACTTTTAGCCTACTTATTGTAGTTCATATAGAAACCCCCAAAGTTAAAAGTCAACAGAGCCAACCAGAAGAACGCCAACTGCATCTATGTATGTGTGTATGTCCGTATGTGTACATGTCTTTGAATGTGTGTATGCCATGTATGTATGTATGTATGTATGTATGTATGTATGTATGTATGTATGTATGTGTGTGTGTGTGTATGTATGCGTGTGTATGCATGTGTATGCATGTAAATACCTGTAATGGAAAGAACATCTGAACGACGAGCACGACGAGATTTGCAAGGGTTTAAAGCAATCCCCGCGCAATCAGCTGTAAAGTTTGCAATCTCTGCGAGCCTCAGACTGGGACTTTGGCATTTATGATACAGTACCAGCAGAAAGGCTTCAGTCCTTCTCTGCATGCGCTGAGCCAGGAACTAAGCCATAAACCCCAAGCCCCTGAAACCTTAAACTCGAATCTCTGCCAACGGCCCTGCTTGTAGCAGCCTAGGCTAGAGAAGGCCGGGTTACTTAGATATGAGAATGCCATGGACTCGCTCTCTCTTTGTCTCTCTCTGTGTATTTGGAGTACCGGGTTGTCTTAGTAGTAATTGACAGTGCGAAGGCTTACGGGTCTTGGGTCCCATATAAGTATATATGAAGTGAAGTTCATATACCTAAAGAAATATGATGTTGACGGTGGTTGTTCACGTAGTCCCAATACCTGTCGATTGCGCGTGAAAGTCACGACCTATTTGTGGGCATACACTATGAGCCTCGCTATGCAAGCCCTCATCATGTAGACAGTCGATTCGACAACTCGTTCCCTGAATGAGTACGTTGTTGCCCTTAAAAAAAGACAATGACAAACGAAGGAGTTCACATGATCCTGTTTCGGCTTTGTGGTGGTTGGAATGTACTAATTTGGCTTCATCTGCTCCATAAGTGAAAATAACCTGCCAGTTTCGCCTACAGTGGAACCCCGCGTCTTATCAAGCCCAGCTGGTGCTTCAAGTTCTGCGTCAACCGATGGTTGGAGCTCTCACAGACGTTGGCAAGGTACTCCAGGAATCCCATGTGATCTTCGAGGGTGATGATCCAACTCTCCCCAGGAAATGTCAACTCCCAGGAAGGTGTCCCTGTGGAGTATCCGACTGTCGTTCCAGAGCTAACCGCTCGATCGCGCACCTCCCGGAAACTCACAAAACAAAAAAAACCACATTCGAAGGCCTAGCTCCTGGAGCCTCAACCGAACGGCCAATAAAGTTTCAGCCCAGAACGTCTGCCCGCCTCCAGAAGACCAGACAGACTTGCCAGGGGGAAAGTCTTGTCAGAGCGAAACCTCCGACGGATCTCCACCTGCCAGGCCTCGTTGCGCTGAACCAGCGTTAAGCTGCTGGGGGCCGAGAAGCCCAGCCCGATCATGATGGACACCACAGCATAGAGGTCTAAGAAACCGACATACAGCAAAGAGCTCCATCCATCGCGCCAGAGAATGACAGCGGTCGCCATCAGGAAGACGGTGCCGACGAGGAGGCAGACCATTCGAAAGACGTAAGCCCAGGGCCCAACACGCGAAACGAAGACTCCGCTTCTGCTGACACGCGGCACACGAGGGCCCATTTCTTGAGTTTCCTATCTGACTCCTCTTGAGCTGTGGGGTGCCTGCCATCTTAGCAAGATTCCGTGCCTTACATGCCATGTAACTATTATAGTACAAGGCGGTGAACAACACCTGCTCACAAACTGGAAAAAACCTTGCGGGGCCACCTCGCAATCTTAACGATTCACGTTGCTTGGAACATTAGCTCAGCAACTGACAAAACAAAAGAGCATCTATAGCAAGAAGCCGCACTAGCCCTGAACCCTCACGGAAAAAAACACCCTACAGTTTTCATTAGGCCATATCTACACTCTACACCCCCAAAGCAACATCACTAAAACCTAAACAGCAAAGGACCGGAGGCCTTGAGAACTGGAGGCCGGTGTAGGAATCATCTTCAGGCGTAGTCAGTCTGCTAGGTTCTATACTGCATTGTTCTATATATTGAAAGCCACCCAAACCCGAGTCAACTGTTCAGGGCCCTTCGTGAGGCTCCTCATCGAGGCTGCTCAGCAGCTTCTTCAGCACTTTGGCGTAGTTCTGGCGGCAGCGTGGTTCCAGGCTTGCATCGAAAAGGCACAATATATGTGGAACGGGGTCTTAGTTGCGGTCATTTAGAGCTTTAGGGTCCAGACAGCTGCGCCAAAAGATAGGGGAGTTGGCCCATGCAGGTATTGAGACCTAGGCAACATGCAGGGGGTCACACAAGTGCGATTGATCCCCTGCATGCAAGGGGCAAGTTCGCTCCTAATCCCTGTGCCGTAATTTCTAGACCCCTGGCCCCTTTTATTTTTCCTTAACCCAGACCCTTGACCCTAAACCCTCAACCCTTTCAACACTATGTTCCCCAGCCCGGCTTTCGGAGTTGTTTTAATATCTTCCAGAAAGTACCAAGAACTATGGGATTGTTGTAAAGAGGTACGTTGAAAGTCGAGTCTAGTGTTCTATAGGGATTTTATGAGAGTTCTATGTCTTATGAAGCTTTGCTACTACGTCAGGCTATTAGCCCCAGGTGAACGGCTCAACCCCAAAGTCACATTTTTCGGCAGAATCCCTGTGCACGCTCGACTTACCAAAGCCCTGGAGTGCAAACACCCTCGCATAAGGATCGAGGTTGAGGAGTTGGGATTAATCAAATGGAGACTTAGGGTATTAAATCCCTAAACCCTAAACCCTACACCAGTTTGGGGGGTGGAGGGTTTGGGGGTTGTAGCTCATGGGCGCGGGCTTGTGGAGTCCTGGATCGCTATAGACCTCCAAAGCATGTAGGACAGTAGCCTTGTATGGGTCTTGGGCCATTATGTTACTTACTTTTGGGGGTTTAGCTAGGTCAGGGTCAGACGGCCAGAAACCTGAGTGAGCGCGTAGGAGACATGCGCACCTGGGGGACGCCAAGCATCTTCTTGATCATCCTTTCCATATTTTCCTCGACGACTTTGATTTTGGGGGGGGTTCCATAGGGATTGTGTCGGAGGCTGAGAGCTTCTATGAAGTAGGGCTTATACTTGGTCTTTGGCAAGCCACTTTACCCACCCTCTCTCGCCGGCAGAACCAGTTGTGGGCTTGAGGTTTAAGGCTTAGGGCTTCAGGTGCAGGCTTGGGTCCTTGAGCTGTGTGGTCTTCAGGGCTTAAAATCGCAGGGTCTTAAGCATAGCGTTGAGGGGCTTAGGACCCGGAGTTGACCCTAACTTCATCTTAAATTGGCCCCAAGCCCCGAAGCCTTAACCCGAATATGAGGGCCGTCATGTCCCAACCACTAAAAGGCTAACGGATTCTGAGGTGGGGACTAGAAAGGGCTCCTCTTACAAATGGTTCCGACCCCTGCAGCAGAGCCCGAAGCCCCGACCCCTGCAGCAGAGCCCGAAGCCCCTGAAACCCTGAAGCCCCAGACCCTAAACTAGACCCTAAACCCTAAAACCCTATAGACCCTAGACCCTAAAGCCCTAAACCTGAAAAAATATGCAACCCTAAACCCGAAACCCGAAACCTTAAATTTAAATCCTAAACCCTAAAGCCGCAGCCTAGAAGCCCCCAGAAACCCCTGAAGCGCCCAGGCCCTACACCCAAATCCGCAAGCCCGAGACCTAAAACCCTGACGCCCCAAAGAGTAAAAACTGAACCACACCGTAAGGCACGAAAGCCCTCAGCAGAACTCAGGTATATACAGCACACATAGAACCGTTTTTAGGACCTCAGAGCCTTCAAGGAACCATAAAAAAAAAAAACCTACATCTCAAACAACCACCCATGCCCCCTGCTACTGGCTCCTTCTAAGAACCCCTAACGGAACCTCATCGTTCGCTAACCCTAAACCCTAAACCCCGAAACCCTAAACACCTAAACCCTAAACCGTTCCCTGTTGTTCCGCCAGAGACTCCCAGAACCAGTTCCAGGCGACCTCGTGGTCCATGTCCTCGTCATCCCAGAGGCCGGATTTGTAGAGTTCATAAGAAGGACAAGGCTTGTTGTGAGGCTTTAGGGCTTATAAGGCTTGCATGGGATTTGGGGTTTGAAGCTTTAGGGCTGAGGATTTCGGAAAAGCGAATCCTAGACCCAGGAACACTGAACAAAAAGATGCTCTTCCTTCATCAGAGTCGGGTGACGAAGCGGGTCCGCTTCGTTGCATAATCAGCAGGAGCCCCAGAAGCTTAAAATTTCGGCTTTAAAGGGGTAGTAAGATTATATAACACCGAACAGTTCAATCCCGACGAGTTTTCTACTTTGAGTGTCAAGGGAGTTGTGTAACCCCGAGAGTTTGTTAAGTCTATACCTACTTCTCAAACCTTGCTTGCTTGAGGGGTGCAGCAGCGTTCATGCACAAGTGCCTAGACAAGCACATGCAAACAAGCGCGGCTGCTTCTTGATGTTGTCGTCTTGATTCGACTCTTCCCAGATGCTTTGAGCCCTCCCTACCGTAGCTTTGAGACGTTGAGCACCCGGAGGCCCCCGTAATGGCTTTGCTGTTGAGATCCACATGATTCCCCGGATTGAAGAAAAGGAGCTTACATTATATAGGGTTTAGGGCCTCGGGGCCGCGGCCGGGATCTCTCCGGCACCCTAGGCGTATACGCCTAGATAACCCCTAAAACCCGCAACCTCGAGTGCAGGGTTTAAGCCAAAAGGACGACATAGCATGGAGTTCTGACCACCATCGACGTATGCAAGCCACACGACGCCTGTGACAGCGACGTCGACGACTGCTACAGATTCTGCTGCTCATACTAGTTATACCAACAATATACTGCTCATACCAATAATATTAGTAAGAATACTAATGATAATAATAATCATCATCATCATCAGGGTAAAACTTCGTAAATGGGTGGGTGGGACCCCCGTGCTTGAAATCTCGGGTCAAGGGCCTCTCGGTGCATTTAACTTGTGCACTTGCGCATCTTCTTCGTGCGAGCCTCTTTTTGCATCATCTCAGCATCTAGCCATAGCTTCCGTCCCGCCTTCGCTTTGCAAGTCAAACAAGTTAAAGCCCATAAGAACTCATATGAACCAATCAACCTCAGACCTCAAGAGCCCCAAACCTTGACATTGCACCCCAAAGCACCCCAAGACGTCCCACGAAAGCAACGCCCAGACACTCAATTTCCCAGCCCCTAGCCTAGCACCGCAAGATGTCCCCTGAAACCCTAAACCCCAAATCTTGGCCAAGAGGCCCAGTCTTTGGGAACCATGGACCTGGCACAGAAAAGTCGCATCAAGGTACTAGGTTACGACCCCATTGAAGTAGTAGGTTATAATCCCATATGTACAATAGGCTACCCTCAACGCAGCAGGCTATGGATTCCGAAACACGACGAGTTCAAGATTGAAGTGCCTGGGGTGTTCATTCAACGTTTTGACCTCCCTTCGCAAGTGGCGCTCCAACGAGTGAATTGGGATCGGTTTAGGGTTTAGGGTTTAAGGGATCCTGTAAGGGCCTGCACTCAGAAACCTACCAGGCTCCACTCTGTTGGAGGTCTGGGGTGGCTTGGCGTCTAGGCATACTCTATATAAAGTGTAGGGAATGTATAAGGAGATGTCACAGGTAGTTCTGCGAATAATTCCGGAACTCCAACTCCTTGTCCTCCGCAGCCCCTGAATCGAATCTTCAGGTGCTACTTTTCGAGGAGGTGCTGCAAAGAAGCATCAGTCAGGCTTTCGGGTTCGCTTGTGAAGGATCGAAGGCACTTTGCACAATGGCAAGTACGAACAAAAAGGGATGAAGCCACCCATGACTCCAGCACGCTCATCAATGAGTCAAGCATTGCCCGATCATGTGAGCATTGCCGGAGCCTTTGAGCATGCTTTAGCGGGCAACCCCTAATGTTTAGGGTGAATAATAATAATAATAAGGTTTAGGAATTCAAGACTTATGGGTTGGAGGCCCTAAGGTGCGGCGGGGAGGGGGCAGATAGTTAAGTGTTCAAGCTTCAGGATTCAGGGTTGAGAGCACCCCACTCAAAAACCTAAACCCTACACATCCCCAAAGCCAAAACCCTGTGGAAGTAGGGACGAGCTCGGAGGGCGCAGTACCTATAGCCGCGATGCTTCTGCCTGTTAGGCCCTTGAGATACCCAGGGCCGCCCCTAACCACTTAGTTAAGAAGGGCCATTTTTTCCAAGTAGGGCCATGAGGGTCCTGGGTCCAGAGTCGAGAAGAGATGCCCCGAGCTGAAGCCCAAGAACCGAGCCTCAACGAGGCCAACATCACGGCTTTGAACTGCGGAAGGACGATCGCGCCCTGCAAGGCGGGCGCGTGCAGGCATGTAGATGGTTCAAGGTTTAGGGTTTACAGTTTAGCGCCCATCGTAAGCCGACAGAACTGCTGAGAACTGAATATCTCCAAGTAAGCATGAGGTCGGTGTCTGTCCCTCTCCCTCCGGCTCTCTTCATGTGTTTTTGCTTTGTCGGATAGCCCCATAGCCATGAATTACTACAGCTACAGTGGCGACTACAACGATGTGGACGACTAGTACACTGTCTACTCCTACTGTTCGCGGTACACCAATTGCGAACGATACTAGTACAACTACTGCCCTTGCTGCTGCTGATACCAGTGCTACTGGTAGTGGTCATGGCAGTGGCAGACACACGAACACATGCTGCTTCAAGTTCTAAAAGGTAAGTACGAGAACCACGGATTTCATCACATCTCCCAAGCCGACACCCGTTAAACTGTTAAAGAGTTCTATAAGTGTACTATGTCAGTATTCTTCACCACTTTGGGCCCCATTCACCTTCAGACTCAATGAGTCGTAGCGGCGCAGCCTGTTTGTGCTTTGCGAGAAGCAAAGAAAGGACGTCGCACTCCTCCTGTTAAAGATGGCTGATACAGGGGCCTTAATAATTAGAATAGGGTTTTTTGGAGGGATAAGTTATACTAAATTATGATAAGGAACGCTGAGGAATGATACTGGTAATGATTTAGGGCTCTATATTACATAGACTGCGCGTCCTTTGGTCCCCCAAACTGAATTTTTCCACCTAGGACCTACATTCACGAAGCCGCAAGCCCAAATCACAGATCTTAAGGACAGTCAGGTCACC